AGTCCTCGCGCTTGCCGAGGTAGGCGATCTGGCCCTGCGTGAGAATCATCACATTGTCGAACAGGTGGAACACCTCGTAGCTGGGCTGGAGGAGCGACACCAGGGCCGCGCCACCCATGTCGACGATCGTCCGCAAAGCCCTCATCTCCTGCGAACGAGCAACCCACGGGCATTGAGCTCACTTGTCCTACAAAAGAAAAAGAAGAAGAAAAAAAGGAAAAAGGCACGGGGGGCGTACGTCGTAGGAGGCAGAGGAGTCGAGGCCTGTGGTGGGCTCATCGAACAGCCACACGCCGGGCGACTTGGCCCACTCGATGCCCACCGACACGCGCTTCTTCTCACCGCCCGATACGCCGCGGAGCAGCGCATCGCCGACAATGGTGTTGGCACGGTGCTTGAGGCCCAGGAGCTGCATGATGGCCTCCACGCGGTCTGCTTTCGCTTGGCTCGACACGCCGCGCGGCATCTGGCAATCAGCGCTGAGACGCAGTGTCTCCTTCACCGTCAAGGTTGCTGCAGGTGAGAGGGGGGAGTCAGAATCTTTGGAGCGAGTAGGGCAGAAAAAAATTCGTACGAAGATGGACATCCTCTTGCTGGATGAAGGCGACGTCGCGATGGTAGTGCTTGCGCTTGGGCACCTTGCCGTTGAAGGTGAGGTTGCCTTCGACCTTGCCCACCCGCAGACGGTTGGCCAACAACTTGAGTAACGAGCTCTTTCCGCACCCTGTATGTCGACATTTTTTAAAATTGATTTACCAATAACTGGGCTCATGGCAATCACATTGTCCTTTTTCGACGTCGAAGTTTCGTTTCTGCTAGTTTGCGGGCGACTCGGTCGCAGGGGAGAGGAGCTCGTGCGTACCAGGGGCGCCGAGGAGCAGGGTCATCTGGCCGGGCTTCAGGTAGAAGCTTACATCGTCGAGGATGGGGATGGGCTTGGGTCCCTTCTCGGGGATGAAGCGCCGCACGGCGTCGGCGACGACGGAGAACACGCTCCGGTGGTGCCTGGTGGGCGGCAGGGCGGGCACGCGGTAGGTGAGGTTGTCCACGGCGACGAAGATGGGCTCGAAGTTGGGGTTGTTGACTTGGCGCGTCTCCTTGATCCAGTCGCTAAACAGGTAGTCACGGTCCTTAATCTTCAGCTTCGGCTCATCATCAAGACCCTTGAATGACACACAACACACGCACGACAGGCACGACACACAACCGTTAGTGATCACTCGCTGCGCTGGCCGGGTGGGCTGCGAGCGAGAGTGCGCACTGAGTCTGATGAAACGTCGGCATGGTCATCGGACTGGGCAGAATGACTCGGCGGCCGTTCCTCTGTCTCCATGATGATAGTGTGGTGATTGTAGTGTGCGAGGGAGAGGCAAGATACAGGAGTGCCGGGTTGAGCTTGGCCCGTTAAATACCGTCCTCCAAGTGATGGGCGGCACGTGAGCCCCGCACTCGAAATGTGACATAAACAACTTCATGGTCTCGCTCTGATCTGAAGGCCCCGCGGGCTCTGCTTTGAGTCCGTCCAATACTCTCTGCCGAGCTGCCCGCTTTGCGGCACATGTTGAGAGCATGTTCGCCAGAACAGTCTTTTCTCCGGCAAATGATGGTTGGAGTAAGCCCGCACATCAATAAAACGTGCGGGCATCGGCAACAGTTTCGCCAAGGTCGGGGTTGGTTCGACGGAAGAATAGAAATTAAAGAGCCGGAAAGAGTCGGCTGTTGTTGTGGTTCAGCCCGCCAGTCGGTGGGTGGCGCCCTTGCGACCGTGGCAACAGTGTTCGAGCCGAGTCTCGGCCCTCCCACAGATACCGCGTGCCTCGCGCGGTCTTCGCCCCTCTCTGCGCAGTCGAGCTTCAACTAAAATGAGGAGATGCAAAAAGAAGAATTGCAGAAAAGCAAAAAGAAATCAACTTCAGTATTAAAAAGCAGCAATTTGTTCGGGCTAAAGAAGTGGTTTTTTTATACTAATAATAATAGAGCTGGCGATGGTGGTGAGCGTCGTGTGGATGGTGGTGGGGCTGGGGTGGTTCTGCACGGCCTGCGCCGCCGTACAGTTGGTGCTGCTATTGGAAAACCGGCCCTGGCTCCCCTCCCAGCTCCTGCAGCAGGTTTCATCCTCTTCATCTTCCACTCACGCCTCGACCCCAACGTCGCTTCTGGTCAACCTGGCCATGGCGGGCTTCGGCTTCGTGGCACGCCTTGTGCGCGCTTGCTGGGCCACGGCACGCAATGCAGGATCCAATCGCCGAATGAGAAGATTGCACAACGCCGGCGCAGGGGGCGGCCTGTCGTGGCTGCGCACGTCGCTGCCGCCGCTCGGGCGGGTGCTCGACGCCGGCGGCAGCCTGCCGTCGGGTCCTGGCATCGCGCGCCGACCCGGTAACGCCGGCCAGAGCCGCACCTTCTCCTTCACCGTACGGCGCTCCGCCTCTTGTCACACTCGCCTCATTTGTCACGTTTGCGGCGTGTGCGGTGTGTGTGCGGTGTGTGCGGTTACAGTTGATGAGCTGGCGCGGGACGACTTACACGGAGCCGCTGGAGCGCGAGGTGCGCGTTGAGATCAGCGGGACCGCCACGCTCATTCCCACGGTCCTCAACCACAACAACGGTTCGTGCAAAGTGCCAACTTGTGTTGTGGGGTCCTCGCTAATGGTCAGCAGACTAAGCTGATCCGTGTGTCGTGTCGTGTGCGTGTCGTGTGCGTGTCGTGTCGTCGTTGGTTGTGTTGTGTTGTGTGATCGTTGGCCGTGTGGCATGCAGGCACGTACGATGTGACATACACGGCTCGCAAGGCCGGCAGCTACCAGATCGCCCTGTGGGCCAACGACAAGCCCCTCGGTGACAGCCCCTACGCCATCCACATCTCAGCCGGTCCCCTCACCCACCCACATTCCTGCATTTCTGGGAGACAACCGCGCGCGTGTGCTGATCGATCTCCTGCACACGCGGGTCTAATGCCGCGCAGGGCCGATCGATGCCCGGCATTGCACGCTCAAGGGGCCGGGCATGGGTCCGTTGGCCCTACCCAGCAAGCAGGACACTCACATCATCGTCCGCACGGCCGACTGTACGCTTAACATTCTATCCCATTGGTCAATGAACATTTATGGAATGACAATACAAACTTTTCTTGTAATGTGTGGTATGTGTTCCTGGTATTTGTGGTGGTGATCGTTCAAGCCTTCGGCAACGAGCGAGACACGGGCGGACCCGCCGTGTTCAGGTTGGCCGCGAAGGGCGTCAGCGCCAAGTCTGGGCTGCCCTGGGAGCGAGACATCCATGTCGACGTAATTGGCCCTCTCCCATGATCTACAATGATCAAACACTGTGATCACTAACAAAACCACGTGTATGTATACACTACTGCTTGTTTGTTGTTATATGGTGGCCAATCAGGTGCAAGACAGCGGCGACGGTTCGTATAAATTGACGTTCCGCCCCAAGTCGGGCATCAACGAACTGTGCCTCTTCTACCGCAACGAGGAAGACGAGCAGCCCCTTCCCAACGGCCAATGGGTGATCAACGTGCTCAAACGTGCGTGTTTTGTGTCGGTGTCGTGTGCCGTGTCGTGTGTCGTTTGTGTCGTGTGCGTGTGCGTGTCGTTGCAACCTCGCGACAGCCCGTTGATCGCCAAGAGGTCTCTCCTCCGATTCGGCAGCCAAGCAGAT